GCATGGAGCGGGCCGAGGCCTACGGCTTCTCGGGCACCATGAGCGGCGCCTTCCTGCTGTCGTGCCTGCTCTTCGCGGCCGTCAGCCGCCGACAGCGCGGGCCCTACATGGACGAGGTGTTCCACGTCCCGCAGGCGCAGGCCTATTGCCACGGCCGCTTCCTGCAGGTCCAGCAGCCGCTCGGGGCCGAGGGTGGCGGGCTCCGTTCCGGGTGCAGCAGCAGCAGCAGCAGCGCGCCGGGCAGCGCGCTCAGAGTTCGGAACCCTCAGGGCAGCAGTGCCAGGAGCCGTCTGAGCCTGCGGGCGGGGCGGTGTGGCCGTGGCGCGGCTCGGGGCCCTGTGTCGGCAGCGGCTCCGTAACGCTGTGTGTGTCGCTTTGCAGTGGGACCCCATGATCACCACGCTGCCCGGCCTGTACCTGCTCTCCGTGGGAGTGGTGAAGCCCGCGGCGTGGCTCCTCGGCTGGACGGGAAGCGTGGTGTGCTCTGTGGGAATGCTCAGGTTTATCAACCTCCTCTTCAGTGCTGGGAACTTCTATTTGCTGTATTTGCTTCTGTTCAAGATCCATCAGAAGAATAAGGTATGGTTAAAGCAAATAAAGTAAATAAAGTAAAATAATTTTCTGCACTCGTACGAGCAACTTTGATGGCTTAGTGTATGTTCACTACACATGTGAGATGTTCTCAACTTAATAGAACTGTGAGTACCACCACCAGTTTGGCCAAGAAGACACGTTCTAATTTTTTTTTAATATATTTTTTCTCACACAAGGTGCAGTCCTCTAAAAATTCACCTTGCACATAAATAGAAGTCCCACTGAAATAAAAGTACATATGCAGACTTACTGTCCAAAAGTCTGAGTGCTCATCTGGTTGGAATTGCTTAAGAGTCCTCACAAAACTTGTACAGAAGCTCCTCAGCTACTCTGTGAGCAGCCTGTGTCATTTATGGGGATTTCTTCTTTCTCGGCTCCAGGCATTTGGATTTGTCCTCGTTGAATTTCATCATATTTTTGTTACTGCATTCCTCCAGCGTGTGTGGGTCACTCTGGATGATGCCTGTGCTCTTGAGCAAATTGCCTGGTCCT